ACAGAAGAATGCAGGGAAATGTTTGTGTTTCATGGGTACAATCCCCCCAGACATATTCTAGCTGGTTGCTGGTATAAAAATAGGCATATGATGTAATAAATAATAAGGTTTAGTGCAGTAGTAAATCACAATACTCTGTTACAATTTGTTTTTCAGTGTGACCAAATATTGGGTTTTTTGATTGTTTTCTAATTTTTGATCTGCCCTTCCCTTTGCTCCTTTCACACCAAGATTTCTATTATCCTTTCAAAAATGAGATGTTTTGTATTTAAATAGTGAAATAACAAAGACTAAGCGGCATCATCCCATCAGGGTATACCACAGAGATGATTAACGCTATTAAAGTGGAAACTTTTAGATGCAGCAAGTAGCACCTAATGGAAAATGTCCTTAATGGATGTTATTCGTAAAGCAAACAGGAAGATTAATTTGAGTGCTCACGTCAAAACAGCCTCTCACAATGTTATCTTACAAAGGAAAATTAAATGCAATCAAAATTAAGCAAGCGACTCTGAAATGGGTTTACTCAGAGGAACGAATTGGCCACCTTAGACAGAAGTTACCGTATGTGACTGGACACTTTCATCGGCAGAGTTAGCACAGTTTGCTTTGCCACTGGAGAGCTTTGCATTGAGAGGAATGAGCTGTCAGAGCAGGGCCGGTGGACTGCAGAGATAAGGTGGTTACTACAACACCATCGGTGTTTGGCAAATGCAGAGGCCATTTGTTTTGTCAAATTGAGTCTGGGTGTTCCAGAGCTAAAAAAAAAAAAAAAAGACGAGCAATAAGCTTAAAGCAAAGTTGCCTGTTGGAGCCAGTTTAAATCAACATTGTTTATCTCCTCGTTAGATAATCCAGTTTCATCAGCCCATCACACACAATAGGAAATCAATTTGATTTGGTTCAAACTGAAAAGCGATTCTTTTTAATAAATTAAATCAAAGTCTATTTTATTTGCAGTCTTTTGTGCGGCTTTGTTTGCTTTATATGTAAATAGTGGCCTCAAAAACATGTGGAGCTTCTTATGGCGTAAACCAGGAACAAATCAAATCAAATTTATTTATATACCACTTTAAAAACAACATCCAGTTGACCAAAGTACTTTACATAGCAGAATAAAGCCACAATAAATGACTAAATAAGAATAAATAAGATCAGTGCAACAGGGATTTGCATATGAAATGTTATTTACTGCAAGAGATATGTAACTCTGTGTTGTCTAATTATCATTTCAGCAGCTTGATTAGTTTTCTACCTATATTTCAAGATGACTCATTTTGCCCACCTCTAGAGTCCACTTCTCCTCACTATTCATACTCTCCTCAGTGAGTTTGCTTCATCTTTCTGAGCAGTTTTGTGTTTTAGTCTGATCCCACCCAGCTTCTTTGAATTACTGCAGTGCATCAGCTGCTAATAGGATCTTGAGTGCTATCATTTTTGCAAACATGACTGTTTCCTAAGAAATCTGCACTGTAACGGTTTACCCATGAGGCGTTTACTCTGGTGAGTTACATCCTAATGATGTCTGAAAACCTTTTACGTTTTTCAGCCCCTCTGGAAGACTGCAGAGAGTGGATAGACAGAGGAACATCTGCAACATGACGTGCAGAATGTGACAGAGGGCTTTCAGCTTCTGTCATTCTAGTTAGTGCAGCTTTAAAGAACATTAAGCCATCTTTAACTTTAGTATAATAATTGACCAAGAATTTGTTCTTTGGGACACATTGAACTAACAAAACTCGAGTTGCTCTTCTATAAAAAGCTAGCATTTTAGTGTTTAGCAGGTACTGTATACCATGTTCACCATTTTAGTTTAGCATGTTAGCAAGCTAACATTGTGGTGCTAGTGGAGAAATCATGGCATCACCAAAATCAGTATAATACTGTATATCGTCTGGGAATCATGAATGCCTGTAAAAAATGTCACAGTAATCAGTCCAATAGCTGTTGAAATGTTTCAGTCTAGACCTAAGTGGTGGACCATTTATATATATAAAAAAGTATTTAAACAACATTGATATAGAAAACCTGCGACTGTTTGACATTTATGCTTGATAAATTACATAAACAATAAATCGATACTCATTACAAATTTTTTGTCAGTCTAGTAACTGATGAACCTTGATCAAAACTAACCTCCACTTAAACCACTTGGCATTTTCTTGTCTTGTCACAATATGGTAAAATGTTGGAACACGCTTTTTGTGACTGAGCAAACTGCCTCCATTTATGAAGGCTGTGAGATGTGATGGAAAGCTCGGGAAAAATCTAGTTAGTGGACCGTGGACATTATTGGACAATCATGCCAACAACATCTCCTCCCATTTCCTAATGAATCATAAACAGCAAGTGCTGGCCACTTTGAAGCACCAGCGAGGCTAATCACATTGCCTTCTCTGCATCCGCAAGCGTCCTGCTGCACAATGGCCACAGCCTCTCGTGTTGGACAAACAAAAGCATGGTCATCTGAAGCGTACCCCCCACACCCCCTCTCTGTCTGCAGACCACAGGATGTGGTTTACAGTGACGGAGCTTGATGCCCAAATGCAGCCACAACAGTAGACCAAAGTAACAGGATGTACACAAAGCAGGACAGCACATGTGCATTTTGCAGCCCAATAACAAACCAGGACAGAAACAGACTAGGCTTTAGACAACCAGGATTTCTGATCCACTAAGTATATCATCTACACTATGTATCTATTCAGCACAGTTCCTGCTTTCCTATTACTCACACCAGCTATGCTCTGCCACTCAGTCAGCCCTCAGGGCAGCCTTTCATCTCATACAATGCCACTTCTTGTGCTTTCATCAGGGTGACAGCAGTGTCATCAGAGACGTCAGAGCTCCAGTAATTACCCTTTCTCTCTGAGGAGCTCATTGATGACAATAAAGAAATGCAGTAAATGACCGCAATAAAACCATATTAGATTACAGAGGAGCTTTGTCTGGGGTTACAGTAACTATTGGAATGGATTTTGTTCTTCACTTGACTTGCTTGTGGCCCGTGCCAATAAGCAGCCATGCCTGAGACCACAATTACTAAAAAGGGAGATGCTGACAGGCAGTGAATGTTGAGTGTGACTAAAGTACTGAGGATGAAAGCTAGGCATGGGCCACAGGGAAAGGTCTACATCTGGAAGGCTTCCTTTTTGTGTAACGTATGAGCACATGAACAGAAAAAGACACATGTAGTGTGTACATATAAAACAACTGTATCCAAACAAAAGTGAAGGTTTTGGGATTAGGAGAAGTAACCTAGTAGAAGCATAGACACTCGAGGTATGCAATAGCCAGAGCACAAGCAATAAAAGAAAATGCTGTTTTATGCACTGAGAAATCTGCTGACTGCTGCTTTTAAATAAATGCAATAAAGATGGAAATGACCTATATCCACCAAGCAGTATGGCTGTTACACATCACAGCCTAATCCCAACCCTTATCAACTGAAAAATCTGATCCGAATTCTCATTTGTATTTGTTACAGTGAATAAACCGATACGCTAAGTTTTATTTGACAAAGATTAATACAATCAAATATACCATATATTCTCTAGTAATCAATACATCTCACTATGTATTTATAGGTTACAGTACTACATCTCATAAACTACTTCAACTGTGCTCCATGCTCTCTTCAAATGAGTATTTATGTCGCAATACAAATATAATATAGAGAGATGATCTGATAATAAACAACTTTGCAGGCTGGATATCCATCCAAACATTATCTATACCACTTATTTCTGAATAGGGTCTCAGGGGGCTAGAGCCAATCCCAGCTGACACCGGGCGAGAGGTGGGGTCCACCCTGGACAGGTCACCAGTCTATCACAGGGCTGACATGTAGACAAACAACCACTCAACTCCTACGGGCATTTCAGAGTCACCAATCAATCTAAGGTGCATGTCTTTGGACTGCGGGAGGAAGCCGGAGTACCCGGAGAGAACCCACACAGGCACAGGGAGAACATGCAAACTCTGCACAGTCACCGTGCATTAGCAGTATGTGGTTTTATGTGCTGATGTGATAGTTCAGGCACAAAAGGTTAATGACACTGTGTGAACGTGGCAGTGATTGAAGGTTGCCATTTTTTTAAAAGCACCAATTATTTCTACACTTTCATATATTATGTTTCACATCTCACTGCATCTTAACATGACATGGAGTCAGAGCAGCCACTAATCAGTGTCAGTTTATTAGCCAGTGAACCATGGGTATAGTACTGTTCTGTAGTACAACCCTTAGGGGGTTTAAGAGTTATGCCACTTTATATGTTTCAGAGGTACTGTAAATATTTTTAAATTAGTCTGTTGATCTTTATTTTTCAGTTAATAAAAGAGTTGTTTAGTCTGAAAAATGGCCATAACAATTTCTCTGAGTTTTGCTTTTTGACTTGACAAATGACTTAAACTATCGATCCATGTTGGTTATTAAGCTCCTTTCTATCAACTAACTGAAATTATTTCACACCTTCAAGTGTGACTTTTTGTACAGCATGTCTACTGCTGATAATAGTTCTGTACTTTTTCCTTAAGTAAACTTCTGAAGGACTTTAGCTTGTATTGCAGTACTTTTATATAGTGTTATTGCTACTTTAACTTAATTAAAGGGTCTGAATACAGTACATCAGCCAGCACTACTGTACTTATGTGCTTCTAGTTGGCGCTTTAGAGTCATATGACCATTAAATGCTGACAATCCACTGCTCTCTGTAACGGTCAGATGTGAATTATTTATACCTGTAGTTTCTTCACTTGCAGACCAATTTATGTCATCTAGACGTGCTGTCAAGTTTGTTTTGCTGATGCTGAGAACTTCTCTGTGCAGCTTTTCTCATTATGTCCCATATTTCTGCTGCATGATGATGGAAAAACTAATCACTCTAAATATCCTAATGCATTTTTCAGTGAGACGAGGCTAAAAGGCTTTTAGAGGACTTGCCTATTAAACCATATTTCTCTCTTCATAACCCCATCCCTACTCCTTTCCCTCTTAGAAGAGGAATGCTCCTGGTACTCCAGCTGTAGTCTGCAGCAAAATGGGAACAGAGGAGCGCAGTTCAGTCATGTCACAGAAGATCTCCCTGTCACGCAGCAACAGCAGTTCCTCATCTAAATATGACAGCCGACAGGTAACACACACCAGCTGAAAACACTGAATCACAAAATCTGGCAACTCAGTCCTGTCATTCATTGGCCAAATAAAGCTGTGTGCAGTCTGTTACACCTTCAGATCATTTCTCTAGTATTACACATGCAAAAGGAAAAAAAATCTGGACTATTTGTTTTTTCTCACTTAAATATAGCATCTGCCGGTCCTCAGGGAGTTCTCTGTGTCATTGGAGGACAACGACCTGACAGTAAATGCCTTAACCACACAAACCTTTTCATAGACTCTGTTTGGCTTTTTTTTAATGCAAGCCCGAGGAGACAGCCACATCTAAGCATCTCTTTGTTTTACATATGTCAGACAACAAGGACTAAAAGCTGCCAACTTGACAAAAACCTAACATTGTCAACTTTACTTTTTCTATTTCCATTCGAGTTAATATTGGCACATTTTCTCAGATTGCAACATTTTCAAAAAAACTATAGAGTGCTCTGAATAAGTAAAATGCAAGTTTGCAGCAATTTCATAAAAGGTAGCTCTGTCACATATTAATTAGTAAATATATTAGCTCCATGAACAGACTGTTGTTACATTTGCATTGAGCATTTATCTGTAGGCAACAGACACATTAATTTTTCATTACCGACAACAGCTTTTTTCTGTTGGGAAATGAATGTAATAAAGGTTCACTCTGTGCCTACAAGACACAGTGATTCATCACTTTAGATCAACAACAAACAGGGACTGAAAAAGTATTATTGTTGGAAAAGAAGCTCTAAACAAACAAATTGATGAATAAATTTTCTTAAAATTGTTGTTTCAAACTTCAAACATGCTTACTAATTAAATAATCAGCAGTATAAAAACAAGAGGAATTACAGTGGGAAACCGTGGATGAGTAAGGGATTACAGAATGCATGTAAAAAGAAGAATGCGTTATATAAACAATTTATAAAGGACAGATCCAAGAAGGCGGAAGAAAAATATAAGTTATATAAGAACAAATTAATTGCGTTATTGAGGATATGTAAGAAACAATATTACTCTAAAGTATTAGAGGATAATAAAAATAATATGAAAGGTACTTGGAAGATATTAAATAAATTGATTAGAAACAGTACCAGCAGGAGTAACTACCCTCAATATTTTATGGATAATGATACACTGGTCAACAGATTGGAGGATGTAGTTGAGAAGTTTAATAGGTTTTTTGTGAATGTTGGTCCTGGTTTAGCAAGAAGCATTTGTACAGATGATACATCCGTCACTATAAATAATA